GGGAACAAAGAGAGAGAGAAGACGCATGCACATGCTGTTCTGCGTCCACTTTGGCAATCGCTGGTATTGCAACAGGAGTAACTCGGAATGTTGTAAAAAACAGCAGAAAATACCTCGCTTCGACACAGCCGCTCCTGCCCTTGTTTTTGCAAGCCAGGCGTGAGGCACCATATTTGTTACTGTTGCAACAAGCTCAACAATACTTTAAAAAAAAGAGTAACAATGGGGTGCGAGATTCCCATACGTAGGTGCTTTCAGCTTCATTTTATTGGGTCAGCCCTCCGACATCACGGGCGAGCGAAATGTGGTCAAGTGACCCCGCGAAAATAGAGTTGAGGGTCGGCCTTTTTTTTTCTTGTATTTTTAATTTTCTCATTCGAATAACTTCAAACTGCGTGCCTTTATCACTGCCGTTCTTGCTGCATTTGTCTGTACTTCAGAGTACACAGCCCACGAATGAAACATGGGGGCTTGAATAGTGTTGGAGGGTCCCTTTAAGCTGAACCCTTTTTGTAATTCTCCAGGTTTCTGCTCCGTAGGCAAGTACCGCAAAAATTCAGCTGTTATATACCTTCCTCTTGTGAGGGATAGTGACAATTACAATTCATAATTTGAAAATGCCTGCTGAATGTGATCCACCCACTCTTATTCTTCTAGTTACTTCAATCTCATGGTTCGGTTCTGCGGTTACTGCCTGTCCTAAATAGGCGTACCCTTTTAGAACTTCAAGCACTACTCCTAATCTCAAAGTGCTGTTCTCTCCAAAGGATGTCGTACATGAGTACTTTCCTTTTCTTCACATAATTTTAGGACCTACCTTCCGGCTCTCCTTGTCTAATTCAGTAATCATGAATTGCAATTTGTTCCAAATAAATCAGCAATGCAATTCACAGATGAAGCCCAGGTTACTAAGGTACTTTCTATCAACTCCTATCCTTAACTCTTCCCATTCTAGGCCTCTAAAAACCTCTTGTAGGCACGCGGCAAACAACATTGGGGAGATTGTATCCCCTTGTCTCAAACCTGTCTTTATTGATATTGTGTCACTTCCCTTGTGGAGCACTATGGTGGCAGTGAATTCCCTGTACGTTGCTTCAAGGATGTTGATATATGCTTCGCCAACGATCTAATTCTATAGTGCCTGCATGACTGCTGATGTATCGACTGAGTCAAACGCCTTCTCGCAATCTATGAAGGCTATGTATAGGGGTTGGTTGTATTCAGCGCATTTTTATATCACTTGATTTATAAAGAAATTGACGCAGTAGCTCAGGGTTCCCTCAGAGAACAATCACAATTCAGCCTTCCAAAGTGTAGGAAGCGTACTGCAGCAATGATAATAGAGGTTCCAATAGTTCGGTTATACTTGCGATGCAAGAGAGTAGCGATGGTTGGTAGAAGCCGAGGAGGAAGAAGTGAGAATAAAATAAACATGGCGTATGAGCCAGGCCACGTCTCCCGCATCTAGCGTCACACGAGTCGACAGAATTAAGACCTGGCAGCCACTTCATCAACCGGCCATCATCATCGAACACCTCAGCAAGACGCAGTGACTGAACGTGGACCACACAAGTGCATCCCAACTCTACATCATTACCAGCATCATGACAACACCATCAGCTGACCTTGACATCCCTAAGTACACCGGATCAGTGGACGATAGACCCGTACTGCACTGGTTCAACCTATCAGAGCTCCACGCTGCCGCTGGGTCATGGTCGGAACGGGAGATGGTTACAAACTTCAGCGATTATGTAACTGGTGAGGCATTCAAATTTTACCTTACCCGCATCTTCGACGATGAATCGTGGCAGAAGATCAAAGAAGAGATGACGGTCCGATTTAAAGAACACACTGACGACTACGACGAAGACTCGCATATAACAACCTATCTGCAGGCAATTGCACTCCACCGTCAATTTCTTAAGCAGTCTTCAAGCATTCGAAAGCCCAGTGCGAATCGACAACTAACACAAGAAGAAGTGGCACATGAGTTCACTGACAGGCGTCACTGAAGTCAGAATAGAATAAACATGGCGTATGAGCCAGGCCACGTCTCCCATTCATCATAACATCACATACTAACACAGAATATGTAAAGCAACCTGTATGGAAACTGACGATCCAGCAAGCTGTTGGGTGTTTGCTACCAGAACAAGAACATTTGGCCCATTAGGGTGACCCTCCCCTCGCAGTAGTCGCAGAACTGTCCTGGATTGAGGGTAGTTGTGCCACGTCCCGTAAGAGATAAGAAAATTTTAAATATGTCTCAAACCTTACTAAACTGTTATTGTTTGATACCATCTCGAGTTCAGCTGCACATCTAGCCACCGTGGTTAAATATGTCTTTGAGTCAAGCACGCCACGTATAGTGAATACTAATTCAATGAATTCTAAGCTTCCCGAAAAGCTAACATCACAGTTCATGGCTGCAAGAAATGCTTCTGGCGTCAGCTGTTCTCCCTGATAGCGGCAGTGAACAGTGGTCGCCGTACGTCTCCTCAAAAAGCCTTCTCCTTGTGTCCACAGAACTCATTTGCAATATTTTCATCCATGTGCTACAACTTGTCCCCTGAATCGTGCCTGCACTGCCAAACGATCACACCTAGAAAGACATTGGTCCCATTACCAAGATGAATTTTTTATCTAGAAGCTTTCGTTTCTTAGATAGATTTTCTTGTAGCATCATGCTATCAAATAATAGTTGTCACATTCTTTACTGGGCAAAATGGTGCCCAGAAATGGTAGGAATGTGCAACAACAGTAGCAAGTTAAACTTGAAAAAAGCCACTAAAATGTTGAAAAGGAAAATCTATGAGGCAAAACCAGACAGTAAACACGAGGTGGCTACTAACAACTGACATATATTTTGAAAAAATGCCTACTCCTAACATCAGTTGTTAGTAGCCACCTCTGTGTTCACTGTCTCTACTTTTGCCTCACAGTATTTTCTTTTTTGACATTTTAGTGCTTTTTTTGGTGTTTAACTATGTACCAACTTGATCAACAAGCAACACTCTTGAAGAGTAGCAAGCACCCACTGCTTATCAATCATCTGTTACACGTGCATCGATTCCAGTGTTACTGCAGGTGCTCACATTAGATCCAGAATAAACTCAACTACTAGCACATAATATTATCATAATAATAGTAATATATGGGGTTCAGGTGTCCCAAAACCATTACACGATTATGAGGGACACCGCAGTGAAGGGCTCTCGAAATTGAGACCGCCTGGTGTTCTTAACAGTGCACTGACATCGCACACTCGGTGGTGCTACAGTCAAAACAAAATTTGGAGCAATTTTCGAAGCAGCACAATCTTGCTTTTGGAGCACTAAAATGCAAATCTGGAGCAGGTTACAGGAAATAAAACATCTCTTTTTTATCATGAAAGACCACATTTGGAGCAAAGAAGGCTTACATTTAGAAACAAAAGTATGTACAAATCATTCAACATCACCTAATTCATGCAGAGTAAACATGAGCACTGCTATTTCAATAAAATTAGTATTTCAATCTACCCCCACAATTATAAAGTCCACAGTAACTCTTGCCACGTCTGTCAAATCCTTTGACAAAATCCATGAATTAAAATGTAGATCTGCCAAGCAGCGATCTTGAAATTCGAGGGATTCGTGAAACTGAGAAGTAGCGGTGGCGAAAAAAAAAAAATTGTGGAGTTTTTTTTTTTTTAATTTTTTAGGGCGGCAGAAGTGTCACACACTGCTCTAATTGATTGCCAGTAATTTTTCAGACCGGCGATCATACTTGAGCTCAGAATTATGAGGTAGTATACACGCATGAGCAATCGAACGAAATTTGCTGTCCTGTGAGTGGTGCTTACAACCCCTTCCAAATCATAATATGCTTTTCCACGGTTCACCGGTGTATTGTGGCAAAAATTATTGAAGCACCGTTCTGCACGGGTTAGAACAAGGCCGATAAACTTTCGAACACCACTACGCCCCCCCCCCCCCCTTCTTTTACAATGGGTGTTAGGTTTAGAACACATCCTCTCGGCTCGCTTGCAAGGTGCGCTCTACCTACCAGATGAAGTAACAGCGGCGCACGCCCGTTGGTCCAGCGACAGCACCGAATATCTATCGTCGGGACGACACAACTAATGCAACTACAAGACAGAAAAATGTTTTATGTGCCAGTTGCTATGGTGACCAACGTGGTCGCCGATGTTTGCCGCACGTCGACTCTGTTCATGGGCGGAAAATGCGGTATGCGCTCCTAGCACTAGTTGCTAACATGACATAGTCACTTTTGTTGACTAGGAAGTTCATACTTTCCGCAAGGCGTTCATGGCTATTGCAACGCATTATTTTCTTGATGTTGTGTCGTCCTGCCGATAGGTATCCGTTGCGGTCAGAATACCGATGGGCGCATGGCTTTGTTCCTTATTTGATTAATCAGGTCTCGCGAGTGCCCTAAGCTAATGGAATTAAGGTTAGCGTGGTTAGTTTACTGTGGTTTAAGGTTAGAGTCTTGATTGATTGATGACTGTAGGTGGGCAACATACGTGGCCTCCATTTCTTGCTAGAATTAGCAAAATTTTTGGTTGTTCGGGCATTTTGACGCAGCTGTCAAGCATTACAACCCCATTATAATGCAACCTTCGGGTCAGCAGCTGAGCACCACAACCACTGCAGCAAACCTTCCAACCTTAAAAGAACAGTATAAAAAATGTCCAACCATTCAAGTGGAGTCCGCACATTGTGATGGTAACTTGTGTAACAGCTTTTCTGGGTTAAAACAAACCAAAGCATGCAGCAGCATTGTACTGAATCGGGGACTTTGCTCACCACTATTGTTGTGACGCATTCAACAAATAAAATACTGTCAGCCTTCCTGATGTTACAAGAGCTGAAAAGGAAGTCTGCATTAAGGAAAATGCAGTTTCAGCAGTTCAATGCAAAACTTTAGAGGCAAAGAATGCCAACGATCTTCATGGCACCAGGGCAGGGCTTCGCATTGAGGTGGACACTCACCGAGAGCCGGAAATCTCATGGTACAGGACCCATTTGCAGAAGTACTCAGGCTCAACAACAGCTGGAGTGGGTGAAGTGATGTTCACAGGAGTGGTACTGACATCCATCACAGCACTCAGGTCATTTCCACTCTTCCATCCAGGAACAGAACAGCCTCTGGTGAACAAGTTATGCACAGAGTAAGTCTTTCACCTTCTACATCAGTTGAATGACAGGTTTTGGATAGAGAACAGCAATTCTAAATTAAGCTCCATGGCTTTCCCATCCCAAGTGAACTGATTCTATCATATGCTTTTAAGCTTCATAATGCTGAATTTGTCATCACTTGACGACCATCTGCTGTACTCACTATATGACATGCAGATGTCTCATTTTACCTTTTATCAATTCCACTGAGGGTGCCTAGTTGTCAAGAGAGTCTCACACTATAAAACTTAGATGGGAAACTAAAGCTGCGATGATTCAACCACCATGACAATGATGGGACGGCTTGAGATTGAATCAAAATAGAAAGGTGTGCTGGTGAGTACCTGTCACGATTCATCTCGGGAGCGCTTGCAAGGGACTGAATTGAGAGAGATGGCAGACGGGCGTGGCAAAACACACACACACACTATCACCCCAAAAAACATAACGCTCGCGAGTACACAAAATTACTCCAATAACAACCTGTACATGGTAAAATCAAAACTGACTGTAGCCCTGTCTAAATCTGTCTCTAGCCCTAGCGCTAGTACTAAGCCAATACGGCGTCTCAATAATGAAACGCCTTACAGTTCGTCGCATTGCTATGTCTATTCGTTGACCTTTGCTGTGTCGACGCTAAGTCGTGTCCTCCGTAGACGTTCTCCTTGAGTTCTTACCATCGAGGTCCTTTTACCCAACCAAGCTGCTCTTCCTCATCACTGTTGTCCCGGTCTTTGTCGTAGTCTTCAGCTTCACTGTACTAGGCTAAGGTCGCCAGAGACTCCCTTGCTGATGGGTCCACTCTGCTGACTGGTGTGGGATGCTACTGCCTTAGCGCGAAGTGGCATAGCTGCAAGTCCACTCAGAACTACTGGGCAAGAATGCGGCAAGTCCAGGCAACCTCACTCGGGAGCACCTCCGAGGACGACGGCCACTCCCCGGATGCCGACATCCTTCAGAACAGGGTGACTATGCTTTTCCCGTTGCTGTAGCAACACTAGTTTTCGACGTATTCGCAGCTCAGAGCCCCACAGCATAGTGCCAGCTCATGCTTTGTGATTTTCCATCACAGCTTGGGTCGCGTGCCACGAGCCTTTTTCTGACCAATCTCGTACGTTAACATGGCGCATCTGCACACCACTGGGCTCTCGCACAGGTGCGCCACATCACAGAGCCCAGCATGTGCCTCATGCCCTCTTACTCATGACATTAGCCCCTCATTTTAAAAGTCTTTTCTTAAAAAAACTGCTATTGTTCTTTCTTCCCGTGATTTCGGCCTTCTGTTCTTTTGTCGGTACCATCACTTGTGACCAAACGTGCGTGAGCCGCTGCGTCACCTTCCATCACAGCACGCTTTCACTTACATTCACTTGGCCCAACACCACACTATCACACACTTTTACACATGCATAAAACATTACACTCGACCGTTCATATGTCCACCAGTTCCTCATCTAAGACTATATGGCTACACTTACAAGAATAACTGCACACAATACTGAACACTCAATATTGCAAAAATATGTACAATATCCAATACCGGTCCAAATTGTTTTTTCTACAAAAGCATTTACCAATTGCACACAACTGGCTTGCGCGTCTTTTTGAGCTTTTTCCTGCGCCTACTCGCTTCCCAGAGTCTGGAACGCTCGCTACAGCTGATCCCACTATTTATGTTTACTCGACACCTCTTCAAACCAACTTTCCCAGGCTTCGTTTTATTTTTCACAACCCTCTCTGCTTCCAAATACATAAAACTTACTTTAGCCGTCCTCACAGCATTCTTTCCTTTTGATCTTGTGCGTCAATCAGCCACCTTCTTCTATCCTGGTAACTGCTGCGACTTTTCAATACCTCTGGAGATGTCTAGGCCTCCTTTGCTTTTTCGCGTTCCAACCATGCACGTCCAAGGCACTCCTTTCATGTGTTTTCCCTCACAGTTTCGACTTGCTTCTTTCTTCAATATATGGGCTCATCAAGGAAACGCTATGCCCTGCCTCTTTACTATCTGGAAGCATCACATTCTCTACGTGCCCCCTTCCATATTACCAGCATATAGCTCCCTAACCGGTGCCTTGTTATCACTATCAGCCGCATCTGAGCTCGTTCCCTTTAGTTCATTACTAAAAAACCTCATCTCGCTTGCATAACACGCCTGCTCATTGACCTTTCGCTCAACCGAATCAGGACTTTGTAGATCAGACACTCAAACTTCCCTCTCTAAAACCTTAATGGGACTTACCTCGTCGGACTGATTCACTTTTCGGCTTGTACCAGTCGCAGTTTGTGCTCAAGCTCTGTTTTTCTCTAGCATAAGCTTAAAGCGCTACTGCATGCTTTGCTTTAAGTTCAGCCTGTCTCGCCTCGAACTCCTGTTTAAGCTATTCTTTCTCCTCTTCAATAAACTTGGAGGCCTAGTCTTTATTGAGCTTTCGCTCACGAATGACTTTCAGTCTCTTCTCCAAATCTATCTTTGCAGAGGCTCGCCAATGATTGGATTGAGAGAAAGACGAAAGATGCGCATGGCAAACACTCTTTATCACCCCCAAAAATTACAAAGGTGAAAAATCAAAAGCGAAACTGAATACTTGCGAGTAAATAAAATTACTCTGGTAGGGTCATTCTATGCCAAATTATCCAGCGTTTTTCTGACGATCACAAATATGGCTGGAAAAATTTTCACATGTTTCTCGAACTTTATCATGTATTTATCTCGGAAGGGCTTGCATCGGATGGAATTGAGAGAGCGGGAGACGGGCGTGGCACATACAACACACACTTCATAACCCAAAGATAGTAGGCAGAAAAACGAAAGCAATAACAAAACCAACATTCATTGACACAAACATTATTCCTGTAACAGTACATTAAATATAGTCTGCAAGCCAGTCTAAATCCGTTCTTAGCCCTAGCCCCTGCTCCTGATCCAATATAGCGCGCGCCGCCACAATCGAACGACCTTACGGTTCACATTGGCTTCTGTTCGATGCCGTGCCGAGGTTCGCCACGTACGTAGTTGAATGTCTCCTGAACCTCTTCGCTGCCGCCGTCTGTTGGTCCCGCCGAATGAGCTGCTCATCCTAGTCACCGGCCTGCTGTGACGTGGGTGAGCTACAAGACGACCAGAAACCTCTGGGCAAGGGTACGGCAAGTTCGGAGAGCCTCACTCAAAACCTCCGAGGTCAACGGCCACTCCCCGGGCCTCTCACGCTGACATCCGCAGAACCGGGCGATCATGCTGCTCCCGTTGCAGTAGCGACGCTCGTTCCCCACGTCCTTGCTGCTTGGCGTGCCAACAACACAGTTCCAGCTCATCCTCCGGGGTTTTTTTTCCTTCCGGCCCGGGTCACCTGCCACGAGTCCTTCTGCGACCAATCTCTTGCCTCTACATGGCTGGTGCGTGTGCTCTCAGGTGGCTCTTCTTCTTTCTCCCACACCATCGCAGCGCTTTCACGTTCGGCACAGCCTCTCCTTTATTCATGATAAAGTTCAAGAATCATCCTGGTCGTTTATTTCCGTTGCCAAACATTTTCCTCCCTATCTACGAGAGTGCGTAGTTTGGTGCCGGCTTAGCCAGAGGGCCTAAAACATCACTTTTTTTTTTTTCAAACGATTTATTTCGAATGCACTCAATAAAATGATATTTGCGGCAAGTTAATGAAGTGATCTAACTGTAAAAATACTGAAATACTTGTGTACATCAATTATTTGAGGGCTTTTCGAACAAGCAATATTGAATGGAATTGACGAATTCTGAATTTTCTTTCGGGAATATGGTAAGCTCAAATTAACACACATTAACACAATTAACTATGTGCTGAAGGCCTGTTTGACAAACTAAAAACTAAATTTATTTATACGCTGAAGTTACAGCAGATAGCCTGAAAAAAAAAATAGTGCATTTCAAATTTTTTTAAAGAAAACTTTGCATTCAGCGTGAAAAAAACTTGCTTTGGCGGTTGGACTGAAAATATGCGCAATAGCTCATTTCAAAGTTCAATTCATTATCTAAATATAAGTGAAGTGTCCAGAGGGTGCTATCTTTTAAAGTTCACAAATAATTTTTCCAATTATGTATCTCCACCACTTTCTCGCTAACGTAACCCAAGCAGCATGACGCACTCAATCTTCAGCAGAAGCCCACTGACCTGGTATGCGAATGGCAAACTTGGTGCTATCTATAAGGCAACAGGAAAGGAAATGAAGTTATCTCACAAGAAATGCAAAAATTGCACATAGCTGACTGGAATTTGCATGTCTGGGGGCTGTGTTTCTAATGGTGACGCCAACAGCGTTGCGATTCGGAAGCTTTTCCTACACTATACTGGTTGTGCTGATCTTGGAGGGCCGCTGCCTAGTGAACTGGCTCGGTGGTCCCTCTCATATCTTGCTGTAATTAGCACCGCTTTCTGCTCAAACAGCGATATTATAGGTCCCGTAGTCCGCAAACAAACCTTTTTCGCAACATAATGCCCAAGGGTAGCATCACTGCGTTCGACAATGGAGTTGTTGCCGTCTGATGTCTAGTAGTTGCTGCTGCAGATGCATCTGTTGGGCGCAGCATTCTTAAGTTGCAGCCGGCTGCCACTGTCTTTAGCACTGCAAATGTCAGTGCTTACCGTTTTCCCTTCCAATTGATTGCATTATCGGAAGCAAGCTCTGCAGAAGAATTCAGATGTCCTGGGAATCATAGTGCTTTTGAAGTGTCGCAACAATGTCATCGTAAGCCATTTCAGATGGGTTGCTTGGCTGAACCAGTGTGCAGATGGTGTTGTACATCTGCTCACGGCACAGCGTCAGCAGGTGTGCCTTCCTCTTTCTGGAGTCTGTGGATACCACTGGCCTCGAAGAAAAACTAGAGGCGTCCAAACTACGATGTCCAGGATGAGCCACTTAAAGAGACCCACAACTGGCCTGAACGGGTGATTATATTCTGGTGGAAAATAAAAGAGCATAAATTATGATGACAG